AAGCTGTGCATGGCTTTTGCCGTTATGAACGGGTCACAGCTTGGCGGGGTGATTCGCCTATGTACATTCGTTTAGCGTGCTTGAAGATGGTTAGCTCAACTTTTGCAGATTCTCGACGACCAAATGCAGCTGACAGAAAACATAGGACAAAAAATGTGACGGACTATCTACTTACAGAGGCATTCAAGTAACAACTGAACACATCGATACCATGATAGATGGCAGTTTAAAAGAATACTGAATTCTGTAGCTCTTCAAGTTTTCAACTGGAAACTTTTGAAAACCTGAATCTGCACATATCCAGGACGTCCAAAGATAGCTGCACAATCCAACTCTCACTTTTTAGACCGAAAACATATGGTGGGACAAAAACCCTCATTTCATTGCATCAAACTTTATACAACTGTATAGCTTTTTTACATTCACGCATTCCTTCGTTACCAAAGAATGCTTTGTATTATCACAACATCAAACAAATAAATGGAACATATGAACAATGGGGGACAAAGCTGTACACTCCTTACGGAGCTCAAACTGAGACGATAGTTCTTTTTCCCTAGTTCTACCTTTACTATTTCACAGTGTAAGAATCAGCAAAAGTGAGATGCTTTATCGCTATGTCATGGAGCAATTCTTTTTTTATTATTCGGGAACTTCTGATATTCTGATAGCGAATGGTGAACAATGATTGTTTCAGATGTTGGGACTTCTCATACGAGGATAAAAAATATATACCTGCAATATGTGGTCCCTGCAAGATAAAATTCAAGGGAAGATCAGATGGGATGAGAGATATCTGAAGTATGGACAAAAAAAAAAAAAAAAAGGCAGCAATAGAAAATTCAGAAAAAAAAAAAAAAAAAAAGGCAGCAATAGAAAATTCATCAATCTGTATCCACGTAAGAGGGTGTTGTCCCTTTGAGAAAGATCAAAACCACATGGACCGAAAGAAACTTTACATCATATAGTATCCTCAAGGGAATCTTTAATTTCCATTTGGTAGTCTGAAGATATTGTTGTCTTAATTCAGTGGATATTCCACGTGGTCATTTCCTCAGGCAAATGTTTATCTGCTCTCTAATTTCTTTTATATGTATCTGTTTTCCAAGATGTAGGCGTTGAAAATCTTAGCTCTCTTTTAGCAGTTAGCAGGGTCTGGTGATTTTGTGGTTATTAGGGTAGTATGTAGTGATTCTGCATCTAGTGGATACTATAAAAATAAAATAAGCAATTGTACATTAAGCATATGTTACACAAATGAGCAACCTTTAGACACAAACTCACAACTAAATAAAAAGGGAAACGTTTGGAGGACCCATCCTTCAGATAAAATTAGAAAATTAACCTTTCAATGTTTATGTTTGGAATTTAAAATACCATCTTCAAGATAGATTTAAATTATCCACGAGCATTAAATGATCAATATCATTCCAGTCATCACATTCCTTAAAGTAGCTTCCGAGGATAAAATTCATCCATTACACAACTAGTATCTGTAAAAAATAGACTTGAATTCTTGGAGTTGGGAGTTTAACTTTCATTAGGGTTAGTTGCTTTCTTTGTATCTTTTCTTTATTAAATGACGAGTGCAATTTCGGAATTACATCTTTCCTTTTCGTTTTTCCTATGTCCAAATGATTGCTCACCTAAACAAATCTCCATCTATCTGATCCCCATCAGTAGCTATCACTCCTCAACATAGACAATCAGCAGATCATATCATCACTGAGAACTGAAGAAATTTCAATTTTGTACAAGTTCAATAAGGCTAGTTTGCTTAAGCTGATGGGTAAAAATCAGGTCGAGATAACTCCATCCTTAAAAAATATACCATTCGGATTAGGAAGATTCTTGGAACATCAGACTTGATTATGTCCTAAATGAAGGTACATGTGTTTTGGGTAATGTTTTCCAGCATAACATGCAATCTCAAGCATCTGTTCCTACTAACAAAGAGAGTCTAGTCTGCCAATATTTCTTCCTTCCATTCACGTTCAATTATTCAATTAAGCACGATAGAGGTAATTACAAAATTCAGGATAGTTTGAACAATATATGGCCAAGGTGCAAAAACTCTTCATGGTAAGTTGTCGATGACAAATGATTCATTAGAATACAAAAATTCATGATCCCCTGTCGCATGTCATATCATAGTTCTGACCGACATTTTAAATCTGGGATGATCATGGATCTAGTTCGCCTTTATCAGTATAGGCATTAGGAGGTTCAATGAATCCAAATGTTTAATATGGGAATTATCAGTACATGGAATAAGTCATTTTAATCATCAGCCTTCTATTCACTAATCACTTCTTTATTTTTCCAATATAATACAACCAAATCAAATTTCAGTACTTCAATCCAATCTTGTTATTTACCAATATTGGTTTGCATAATCCACAGTATTGTTAGGTTCCGATAGATTAGATCAACATGCTGAAAATTCAATATGATACAGCCCATATGTATCAGTATTGGCTGATACTTCAAACCTTGGTTGTGATATGTAGTATGTACAAAATTTAGCCACTATATAAATCCTATTGGCTATCAACTTGTGAAAAGCATCCTTCAGTACACAACTGCTTACTCAAAATCAGACAGCACCATAGAAATACAAATGACTAAAGGTGCAGAAAATTTCAGGCTTCTAGTTTGAAGAAATTTTTTTATTTTTTATTTTTTTGGGTTATGGTCTATTTGCTATTAGATTTAGTGATTTCTTTAAAGGAAGGGGAAAAAAGAACATGTGATATTTTAAGTAACCATAAAGTGAAATGACTTTAAAATGCGGGTAGACCTTTCTTTCTAATGGTTCAATTTAGAAATACTTTCTTTTGGTGCCTTATTGTTTATTGCAGATAGAAAGCAGCTAGTAAATAGGTCTCCGTAAGACCAGTATAAACTTGAAATTCAAAGAGAACTTTAAATGTGCAAGGATGTGGGCTGATAAGAAGTAAAACTAATGACAAAAGTGAAGGTTCACCTTGAAATGTAGTTAAAGAAATGCTTACTCATCAAAGCAACCCAAAAATCAATCTGATGCCCGATGACAATGCGAGAAGATCTCTCATGCCAATGCCCTTTAGCATCACACAAGTGTATACTTAACTATTCTCCTTTGTTCTTGTGGTGGTTGATTTAAAAAAACGCACTACTTCCTTATATAGTTGTTCTCCTTCAAATGGCTTAGACACATAGCCATCCATCCCCGATTTTAGACACTCCTCATGTGTGGCTTGTATGACGTCAGCTGTCATGGCCAATATAGGAATGTGCCAGTGCAAGACATCTCCATAAGATTCTAAAGTTGATTCCCCGTGTTTTATACTGTCATAAACATTTTTCTCCATCTCCCGAATCCTTCGAGTAGCTTCAAACCTTAAAAAGCAGAACATATAATTCCATTAGAACTGTGAACTAACTGATATATGGTACCAGAACCTAGAATTGGGAATAATAAGTGGAATATGGAAAAATCTATTGGTTTTCTGATGAAAGAAGATGACTCTTAACTATTGATAAAGTCAAATTACCTTTCACATGCAAAAAGATTTTACTACTAAGGCTACATATACTTGGAGGAACAGGAAGAAAACCTGTACTTTAAGCCTATTCATAAAAACTAAGACTACGTAGAATTAAGAAATAAAAATTTCCTTACAGCAGCCTAATCCAACATCATAACCTTTATTGAACCAGATTGTTTGTGCAACAAGCCAACAATATCAAAGCTTTAGATCCTACTACTATCAAACTGAAAAGCAAAACCAAGACCTACAACATTGAAAAACATAATTTTTTTTAAATGTAGTGTGACAGGATTCCCCATTAATGCAAGAAACAAAATGTGCATGCCATATTTGCACCCTACTTTTCTTATCATCAAAAGGAGTATTTTCTGAAATAGAATGTGAATGACTAGACTATACCCATCCATTTCTGGCATTTGAATGTCCATGAAACAAGCATCGAACAAATGTGGTGGCTTGAGCATATCAATTGCCTTTTTCCCGCTCTCCGCACAAGCAACTTCAGCTCCGTACTTCTTCAGAGCACCTGCAGCTACCCTAAGATTCACTATATTATCATCCACAACTAGTATATTCCTTCCATGTAGAAGGTTTCTCAATGACAAACTAGGTGGCCCTCCATTTTGGGAAACGTCCTTATCCCCATTGCCCATAACCCGTTGCAGAGAGACAAGTAGCATGCTTGCTCTTAGGGGCTTCATAATTATACTAGAGATGTATTCAGTAGAGCTCACAGAATTGCTCTTGTTAGCAATTGAAGGATTTGAAAGAAGAAAAATCTTGGGGATGTCAGATGAGTCAACTTTCCTTAAAATGCTCATAAAGAAAGGCCAGATGTCAGCTTCCTTCATCCAAGTTTCCTTGTCAACAAGAATCATCTTGACTACTAGAGATCCATTTGTCATTAATCGGAGAACTTGGCTTATATCGGTGGCCAGTTTCGCATGAATCCCAAGCCTTTGGAGATGATACTCCGTAACTTTAGCACGAGCCGGTCTATGATCAATCACTAATGCTTTCATTCCTTGAAACTCGGATGGCTTGTATTCATTAGAAGTGCTGTGTGCTCGTGAAAGAACCGCGGTAAAAGTGAAAGTTGAACCTATATGTGGTTCGCTAACAAACCCAATCTCTCCCTTCATGAGACCAACCAAGCATTTGCTAATGCTTAGGCCGATGCCCGTGCCCCCGTGAATCCGAGAAATTGATGGCCGTACTTGCATAAATGGAGTGAAGACCCGAGATTGGGCTTCTCGAGGGATTCCTACACCAGTATCTTCCACTGATATGATAAGATTTATGGGATCCAAAGAAGGTGATGAGAAAGACTGATATCCTGAAGCATCTTGATTGAATATCTTAAAATTCTCCCAACTGCGTTTTTTATCAACAATCGGAAATACACTCAATGAATATTGGTATGGAGTTCCTGATTCCACCTCTAACGAATTTGCCATCACCTCTTCAACGAGATGGACGGTAACAAAGATATGGCCCTTATCTGTGAACTGTACAAGGAACAAGTATATAAGAATTTTTGAACCCATGATTTGTATTTCTTACATAAAATTCAATTGCCATGGTTACCTTAATTGAGTTCCCCATAAGATTTGTGATGATTTGCCTTATTCTACCCGGGTCACCAATTAAAACTTCAGGGACCTGATCCGATACATAAACTGCCAACTACTCTCGCAAACATTAAAAAGGGGTATCAGAGAGTGAAGCATTAAAGCATTATTGATGTACTGCAAGACTGCAATTTTAATTACCTCAATCCCTTTCTCTTGAGATTTCCCATAGAAAAGTGACAAGACATCATCTAAAATTGTTCTCAACTCGAATTGGACAGCCTCAAGCTCAAGTTTTCCGGACTCGATTTTTGCCTGGTCCAGCACCTCATTTATAAGTGATACCAAAGCTTTACCACTAGCTTGGGCAGTTCTCACATAATCTTGTTGGGTTATATCCAGATCAGTATCCATAAGCATTTGCAACATACCTGGAACACATATAAATTATCCATATAATTATGAGTTATGGATTTATATAAAAATATACTATAGGATTTCCCTATAGATCTTTCCAGGATGAATAGTTGAGTCAAGAACCGCTGATGTTGTGTTTGTGTATCATTATTTCTGCAAGGTGCAACTTTCATTTCTCTATTGTAACAATTGTATTTTTTTTTTTTTTTTTTTGAAAAAACAGAACAATCATTACACCACATTCAGATTTCAATTACATTGGTAGCTAAAAGCCTAATAGTTGTATTTCCAATGATAAAATGAGAAATATGTAATCCAACTACATTTGTCAACGAAATCATATGTGTATATGCTCCTGATCCTTACCTAAAACACCATTCATGGGAGTCCTGATCTCATGAGAAACAGTCGCCAGGAACTACAGAGACATGAAGCATTTAAGAGTGTAAGCTAAGCAGATCAATAATTATATTAAATGAAGATTGGCAATAAGTATCAAGGTTAATGAAATTACCTGGGACTTTGCAACATCTGCTGCTTCTGCTCGTTTCTTGAGCACCATCATCTCTCGGTAATCATCTTCCACTTTGGCAATGCGGTTGACCGTTGCATGGAATATGTATCCAATTAGCAAGGCAATCACAAGAGTACCGATTGATGTTGTGATTGCAAGCCACGGCAATGGGGGCTTCTGCGTAAACCTGTTAAAGACAACATTCACAGTGGTGTGAAAAATATTTATAAATCATAATTAACAGTTTATGTAGTTGGTAATAACTCAATCAGGGATGGAGCTTTGAATATGGAAAGATATATGTAGTTTTTAATTCCAATAATAAAGAAAGATTTGGAAAAGTTCAGGAATGCTAATATACACAATGAAAAGAATATATAGTTGCTATATTTACATTCTATCACACAGGAAAAAATTTCATAGAATTAAGTACAACCAACTAGGAACATTAACAGTATATAACATCATAATTCATAATATCATGACTAAACGTCTTGTGTATACATTTATGACTTATAAACTACTGCTATGAAACAAAATTCGATTAGACATAATATATTTGGAGATGCACAAAAAGGGTAAATTGAGCGTGCGCTTCATACCTCCAGTCACACTAAACAACCCTCAACTCATTTACTAGCACTTTACTCCTCACAAATAATGAGAAAGAGGGGTGTTACTTGTAATTTATCTTTCTAAAAATGGCAATCAAGAGGTTAAATAAGTTGAGGGGTGTTAAGTGCAACTGAAGGTATAGACGAAGGGGGATTATGTGCAATTTACCAATTCGTAACGATTGTATGAGATATTAGATAAATGAAAAGGACAATGACAAATGGAAGGTAGTTTACCTGCAATGCATTTCATGCTTCCTCATAGGGTCCCCAAAGTGAAGGCTGCTGTTATGATATATCCCATTACCAGTCACATTTGAACCATACATGCTAATGGGATCATAAGGATCAGTGGTGTCGTAAACGTTCACCATAATGGATTGCTTACATGCAAGTTGGTGAAGCAACTTATCCACCAAAGCCTCTATGTCAAAGATTCCACCTAGGTAACTACGAAATAATATTAAGATAATAAATGAATGCCTCATTCTTATTATCTATCAACACGGAAAGTATGTAAAGACTTAAGTTGCTTACCCAATGGCTGCTTGGATCCGCTCGACTGGAGTTGCATTCGATGGAAGTTCTGATTTATAAACAGCATAGGTGAGTATGACACCTAAGCGGTTTGATTTTAGGAGCGGGAAGGGAGCCGTGAGGACCCCCTTTCCAGATGCTCTAGCTCGTAGAATATTCTCTCGATCTTCCTGTATGTGGAGAAAATGATCAGAATGGCGATATAAATAATCTCTTTTATAAATAACTAGACAGCTGATAATGTAATTCAGAAAAGCCGCAATTTAATAATATATCACACCCACATAAAAATTAGGGTTAATTGCAGATAAACCCATGTACCATCCTCCAACTGCGGAAAGACCCCCTGTAGATATACGCTGCGGATAAACCCCCTGTACTATCACCTTTTTATTTTAGTGTTCTTTTACCCTCAGGATGTCTATTTGTCAAAAAACTAATTTTCTTTCTCTGAGGGTAAAAGAGTCAAAAAAAGGTTCACATGGGGGGTCTATCTGCATGGTCACGGAGCGGTATACCTATGGGTGCCAGCTGATGATGGCTAAGAACACTAGTAAAGATTAGATCTAGCAATTTCACTGCACTATAAGAATCCCACCTTTGCGTAAAAGAAAAAAAACATATATTGCAGGATGTCAAGGACTAAATGCCATGACATGAGCAGCAGAGGACTCACATGGCAATAGCAAGAAAATGATCCTATAGCATCTTTATTTTAATGGTGATAACCTAAGAACAACAACAACAACAAAGACTTTATCCCAAGTTTTGGGTACTTTACGTGAATCCAGTCTTTTACTCAGTCCATTTGAGGGTTATTGTCTTTGCTAAGTTAATCATTATCATGTCCTCTTTAACAATTTCTCGCCAAGTGCTACCGCTAGTCCTTTCTCCATTAATTATAATCTTATTACCCTTCTGATTGGGACATTTAATGGATTCCATTGTTATCGCCATTAAATTGATCTAACTCTAAAGTTCTTACTTTCCGATTCACCTGTTTTGGGGGGAAAATTGTCAAAGGTGAATGGATTTTTGACTACCAGATCAAGCATTCATAGAAACTGTTCAAAACAAATCATAAATATCAGGTGTAATAGCATGTATGGAAGTAAACAAGATATTCACCTTCCCAGTCAGCATATCTAGAGATATAACATGTTTATAAGCATCCTGGGCAAAGATGACAGGGGCGTACTCCTCTTCAACAGGCGATACCTCTTGTGTTTCCATTTTCTTTATAGTCCATCCTTGTTGCTTCTCAAACTCTTCTCTCTCAGAACGCAAAACTTTCACAGCATAGGCTACACCACTTGTCAACGGTCTCTCAAAGGCAGTTCTCTCCGCATATCTTGCAAAAGTTACCTGCACATTGAAGATATATATTTTATTTATTTTTTCAAATGCCAGATAATTAACCAAGAAGAAAGTCTCATCCATTGAGGATTTTTGGAGTAATAATTTTAATGGTGACTTCACCAATCCAAATCTGCTACGCGGTTCAAAGCAATATCAAACGGTGAACAATATAGCCGCCTCATAAGAATTAACAAGCGCACTAAACAGATGTCCTTATGGTAAAGCAGAAGGTTCAAATTAAGCTTTCAAGACAATTATTATCTCAAGTTTTTTAAGGTACAGTGTTTGGTGATTTTCGTTTGCTTACATGAAGGGCTCATCACAAGGTCACCAAATGCTTATCGACCAATTTAATTGGAACTGACATCATTTTTATGAAAGAAATTAGCATTAATTAAGACTTTAGCACCTTGCTCCATCTGATATAGGATCAGAGAAACTAAAGAAGGAGGCACTACCAACATATTTCTCAGGTCAAACTTTCAGAGTTCTACATCTTTAGTAGTTTTTAGTGTTCCTTTCTTGCTCATGCTTTCAAAGATCACTGAAAAATATTTTATCGCATTACACCTGCTAATTAAATGAAACTAACATCTGCAAAACGAACCATATCGTGCTATCCAATCAAGCAAACTTTTAGCAGAACATAGTGCTAGGATTATTCATAATGACCATCTGATGATTGATCAGCTACCATTTGCCAAAATGAGGCAAGAAATTAGTGTGTTGTCAACAACATGTGATACAATTTGACAGCGAAAAAAACTAATAATAGTATGGGGGCAATTTTAACTCCTATTGAGACAAAATCCACGAGTAGTGAGCACGAGGCATTAGCACCTGATCAATGGCGGAGGGGGATTTGGCATGGTGAAAGGTGGAGACCAAAATGGCCAAGGCCTGAAGATGGTTCATGCTCACATTGAACTGGTCCTGCAGCATCCGAGCACGCTCATCGCACATGCTCGCCAGCGTCTCCCTCCTCTTCTCGATGGCCTGAGAGTTCATAAACCAGAATATCCACAGAGAGCCCAAAAGCCAGCCGACCACCCACAAGAAGAGAAGCTTTCTCCACCATGTCTCTCTGATCCTCTTCGAGCCGAAATAATGGCAGTAGATGTGATTCTTCCACCCTCTCACCGAGAGCTTTTCCGACAAATCAAGCAGGAACTTTGTCTTTCCGTGGAGGAAACCAGGCCTTTGCTCCATCACCTGGGCATCAATGAGCCAGTTCATGGGGATGCCGGAGAGCAACCACCAACATAGGATCAAGGCCAAGTACACCAGCACCGAATCAAGGCCCAGGGCATGGAGAAAGCTCATCCAAAGATGGGACGAGAGCTGGAACCAACTCAGTCTCCACCGGGGAGAGGAAAGAAAGTAGCCGGGAAAAGACCAATTGAGCCCCGCCCCTCCCTCGGATTATGTCAGGTCCTATCCAACTCGAGTTAAACAGAAACTCCCAGGCCAGGCATCTCCTGTTCACGAATGAGGTCGCTAAAAAGCGTCCAGGACTCCGAAAGCAGGAAAAAAAAAAAGAAAACCCAACTCAAACCCACATCACAAGATCGAAACTTCAGCGAGAAAACAAGATCCTAACCCAGCGAGCAGGAAATTTAACGACAGCCCACGAGGTGGTCTCCCTTGAGAAACCCAGTTCATGTAAAAAGATCCAACCTTTACCTCCCCGACGACAACCTAAAAGCAAGAGAAAGAAGAAGAAAACACAGCGAGTGAGCCTAGAGAGAGAGAGAGAGAGAGACCGACTCAGGTTTTTCCCACTCGGAATCAAACAGTGACGCTAGCGAGAGGGTGGCGAACGGGATAGGAAACAAGAAGAGAGGAGGGTGATGATGAGGATTAATGGCTGTGATGATTGAGAGGAGAGCTTTGGCTCAAAACGAAAGGGGATTTGTTTATTAGAGACAGGGGGAGAGGGAGTGGGGTTCGGCTTGGCTGCATTAGGCCATTTATCTATCCATCATAAATCCGTAAAAAGGCGACCGAATTTAAAAAAATATATATAACAATAAATAAAAAAAAAACAGGGCAAAGGAAAAGGGAAGCGGAGGAGGAAGAAAAAGTGGGATAGAACACAACGAGGCAACAATAAACAAAGGGCCAGAAACCGCATCCACTTCACCCCCACTCAGCACTCCCTCTCACTTGTTCACATCCCAATCAGACGCGGTGGGCGAACCCTGCACGCAAGTGCTCTGGTTCTTTGCGCGGGGGGTGGGGGGCCCATCCAACAGTGGACCCCACGCCTCCCCCCCTTACTTACCAAAATGTCCCCCGTGATCGCTCTTTCGCTGATGCGGATGCACAAATATGGAAATTACGGGTTCAACGTGACGAGGTATGTTGACATGCAAATAAAGATAGCTGCGCGCTTAGCATGCGTTCGATTCGATCACGTATATAGCTTCGCATAAGAAGCTTCTGCGTTGATAATTATCCGTATTTTGTGCAAATAATTTCTCCGTAGAGGAAATTGAACGTTGGGTTGGGCCGAAAAAGGGGTGGATGCATTGGCTTCATCAATTAGAGAGAGAGAGAGAGAGAGAGAGGGAGGGAGACGTTTGATGATAAGGAATGATAAGGTACGGGCCCAATAGAAAGCTCCACCATTTCATTTGAGACTTTGAGGAAAATACAATCTTTTGAGTCTCGGCTCAGGAGTAGAGAAGTAGGATAAGATAATTCATTATTGGTGGTGAGTGGAGGCGTACTTTTGAGGCACATGAGGGAGAAAAAAGAAAAAAAAAAGGAGAATATTCTCGGATGGAGAGGGGGAACTTCGAACACCTGGAAGCGTACGTAACTGGATAATTGGCGATGCGCTGGGCAGAGATTTATGCTTGTGGAATCTATGTCATGGCTCTAGCTAAGGCGTAGAGAGAAATTAATTAAGGAGCTTAATTAAGAGTTCGGGGGTCGGCAAATTAATTAAGCAATTTTCATTCGGATGGTTTGTTTGGATAATTAAAACGGAGCTCCGACGCTTTAAAAAAAAAAATTTAAACTTGTTGCTTGTGTGGTGTTCTCTCTCTATTGTCTGCTCATCAAGAATTGGGATGCATGAGTGGGATTAGGCCAAAGTTTGCTCACGTTAGCTTTGTATTAACTACTTTTTTTTTTCTTTCAAGTTGGTGGAAGTTGACCACCTTGCTTATAACCATGATGGTTAGTAATTATTTACATACATACCTTTTGGATTATCATTAATTAACTTGTTAATGACTTCTGCTTGAAGGCAGGAGAAAATGATAGGCTTGCACAAGTCTTTCTTGTGACTTGTTCAAATGGATTTGAGCATTAGATTCTGAAAGCCAACTACTTTGGTTCAACAGAACGAGTACTTCCCGCTAGAATCTTAGGTTCTTCGGTGTGACATCCTCACAACTCATCTTTTTGTATCCTCCAATAAACAAAAGGTATGGTTTTGAGTATGTTACATCAATACTATTTTGGGTTTTTACATCAAAAACTATATACCTTAACTTTTACCTAAATTGATGGATACCACCTCTACTTTTTTTTTGTTAATGAATACCACGTTTCCTTGCTAACAACATGCTTTCAATGTCACACCTATTTATGTTTTCAGCCTGAAAACTCTGTGACCTGACCATAATACTCTCCAACCCCCTCACGTGTAAAACATGTGTACTCTATTAACTCGCCCCATTAACTTTGACTAACATTTGGTCCCCGCCCCAAAACCGACAACTAAACCCCTCCTCCGACACCTCTGCACTAAATTCTCGCCCAAAAAAACGCTACTATCCGAGCGCGCTCTTTCTCCCCCATCTCGTACCCGTCATTTTTAAGGGAAAAACCCAAAATTCTCTCGATTTTGGTGTGGGGTCTCAACGTCGTGCTTGTGCGGAGGTGGGTCTCCGACATCGTAGTCTGGAAAAAGGGGATTATTTTTGGGATTGTCGAATGTGGGGTCCAACTATTCACACTCCCAAACAGTAATTTTGGGGGTGTGTGAGGACTAAATTACCCTTCTCCCAAACCAAACCAGGCCAAGTCTAAAAGAGCACTTTCGGCAATCCAACTCCCAAAGTTACTGTTTGGGAGTGGATATAGCAAACATGTCGAATGTGGTGGGTTTGAGTATTCAAGTAAAGGTAATGTTATTTTAACTTTTCCAATTGCATGTCGTTTCTTTCGGGTTAGAACTTGAATTAGGTTTTTAGTAGATTGAAGTAGTCAATTGATTTTTACCCGTGCATCAGGGTTATGGTCGATTAAGGCTTTGACAAATGAACAAGTAATGAGTTAAATTGGACAAGTTGGTTGCTTAAAATAATTGTGTAAAATGAGAATATTTGTTTAATTTCTGTTTATATGTTGAGTAATTATTGGTAAATTGGTCATTGTGTTGATCTGCAACATGTAAAAGAATTTGATTGTTATGATTAACTTAATTGTACATTGTGATACTAATTAATTACTTGTGAAATTTGTAATGATTGTGTAATTTGAGTTAAATAGTGTCACATTTACTAAATGGGGGTATTTAAATGCAAAGTATGTCAAAATATAGGTTAATGATTTGCTATTTAGTTTATTGAAGTGGTATATATTTCAATTCATACATTGATTAACCTAAGATAAACAAATATGAGTATTTAATGTAATTTCTCTTTTAATTTCAAGATGTATGAATTTATGCCCGTAGAGTATCATCATGGGGGAGAGGTTTGAAAAGAATAGGGGATCATTGAAATATGTGTGTGGTAAAGTTTTACTAAATATGATCACGTTGTTGATGAAATGTCAGAGTGGGAGCTAAATGTTGTCCTAACAGATCAATTGCACTATAGTATGAGCAGTGTTGCAAAACTCTTTTATATGATTCCTAGAAAAAGTTTAGCATAAGGAATTATAAAAATTACTAATGATAGAGACATAAATGAGATGGTTGCTTCTCTTAAAAAAAGCAAGAGGATTGTTGTTTACGTTGTGCATGGTGACGAAGATTATATTTGTGAAGTTGATATTGATCTTAGAGAGGGAGCATCTAATGAACCACTAAATGAGGATAATACTACTACATCTGAGGCAAGCCCAAGCAATGCAAATGTAGATGATACTAATCAAGGCACTAAATGTTTGGGGATAAAGTTAGTTTCTTCATTGAGGTAATCATTATAACTTCAGTCGTTACAATAAAAATACAAAAAGATAGTTTTTTTATAAGACTCTTACACAATAAAAATACAATTCTCGTTAAAACAAATGCAGAGAATGTTTATTGGTCTTCTGCTTACGTGGGACTGTGACAGGAACGTTGATATCCGTAGACCACCAAACGATCAGATCAGATCCAGAGATCAGATCTAAAACTTCATTGATTTGTCAATAAATCAAGAAACTAAAGCAATTATCTCGATAACAGCGAGATAACCACTCTTCTCGAGATCACCGTAACGGGGCAATCTCAAGGAAAAGAACCGGGTTGCAGATCTATCGAACTCTCCTTCTTTATACCGAAGAATTCGCTGAAGTCTCCCCCTCCTCTCGGAAATTCATGACTCTTCAGTCTCTAATTCAGCAGGGCTTCGCCAACGTTCGAGAATTCCAGATCTGGAAAAATAAAGGCCATGGGCTATATTTATAGGTTTAGGGACCCCTGTTTTCAGATAAGAATGATCGATTTGATCTTATCTTCAGTTATAACTACTTAACCATGTTCTTGGATGATATCAGATTAATTAAAACAAATCCAGATGGTTAACGATCGAAAAGCAGCTTAAAACAGCTAAATCAGCATTTTTGGGCTGCGGACACCCGTGGGTGTCTTGGCGTGACCGAGACACTCATGGGTGTCTCAGCCATGGCCGAGACACCAAGGGGTGTCTCGGCGAGGCCCGGAACCGAGGCCCGAAACATAGTTTCGCGTGCTCTGTCCGTTTCTGCCGTATTTTTGTTGTCCGAACTCGGAATTGCGTGATTCAAAGTACGTTGGAAAGCCGATAAGGAGATCTACGAGCTTCCATGATTGAATTACATGTGGAGTAAACGAGACCTAAGGGGCGCTTCGTCTTTTGTAAGCGATGCGCAGCTCCCGATCAGTTCGTGTTTGGTTATTCTGAAGTTCCGTTGTTTCACACGATCCGTCGACTCACTTCATGCATTTGTCATCATCAAATGATCTTTTGTGACTCGAATAGTGACGTTCATCGTCTTCTCTCTGTCTCGAGCCGCGTGCGGGGACCTATAGGTAATTTTTGATGCCTACAGATATCCCATCTAAAGTGTTTCAGTCTCGTTTCTTTTATAGATTAGCCCGAAATACTTTGGATATGATCGGTCTAACTTTCAGTTGGTGTAAAAGGACATGTAGTTAGCTTTGATTCTTGACTCCTTCGATTTTTAGTCTATTCAATATCTTAATGAATAACTGAAGTTGTTTCGGCGCTGTGTTTATCGTCTGGCCATCACCGAAGTCTCAAATCGAAACTGGTGAGTTGATTTTGGCTTGTATCATCGAGTTGACTTTGAACTGATTATCTCCATCACAATATATTGACTTGTGTTGACTTTTATCGTAACGCGTTGAATAGCGTTGACCTAGAGTTACGCGTTGACCGGCGTTGACCTAGGATTTCGGATCACCCGATGTTGACTTTCCATTACAACGCGTTGACTGACGTTGACCTAGGGTTACGCGTTGACCGATGTTGGTCTAGGATTTCGGATCCCCCGGCGTTGACTTTCCATCGCAACACGTGGTAGTCTCAAGTGTTGAGGTTGCAGGACCAACTATTAAAACTGATTCATTTGTAGGTATGGATCTTATCCTGAAGTTGTTAGATGCTCAAGTCACGAGACCAACTAATGAAGCTAGTGCGTCAATGACTCTCACATGCATAGGATTTTTGGCAAACCCTCAGCCATCAACGGGTTTGATGAGCCTTTACCGACTACCGTTTGAGTCGGACTAGCATGCAGATTGTTGAAGTATGTTCCGCATGTAACATTATGCTAAAAGAGTTAATTCTTTTAGTGCTACGATATTAAATACGTAG